CCCCCCCCCCCCCCTCCCTGGCTGGCCCTAAGCTGGTGAAGCTGATCGAGAACTTGAATGCCCAGATGCAGAGTAAAGGCCGTGAGCTGAATGAGTACCGGGAGAAGTACAACATTCGGCTGATGAACGAAGACGAGAAAGCTGCCCGCGATGGAGAGTCCAGGGCACGCTCAGGGGGCACTGGAGTGCTGGTCTCCTAGGCTGTGACCGCAGAGCAGCTGGGGCGCACCCCCTCTGTTCCCTGCACGTGGCTTTTTTTTTGTTAATTTCAGCCCCCCCTCCCATGACGTGTGTTGGGAGTGGAGCCAAGGCCTGCGAATGCCCTCGTGAAAGTCCGGTGGCACTTCGACCTTGGGCGGCAACAGCGCGTCGGTGTTACTGCATAGGGCTTCAAAGGCTTCTGGTTGTCACTGTAGTTGAATTTCTAAACGTCACATTGACAATTGTACTTTGACTGGAAGTTTGACATTTCAGCTTCTCTTTTTCCATTTTCCACCCCCCCCTCCCCAAATTGTCACCCAACCCATCCTCTCGGGTACTCTATTCCTGAGTTTCAATCCACCATCCCTCCTTTGCCTTCCATTCCTCTCCCACTCCCTTCCTCAGGCTTGTCGTGTCTTTGTTTTAGAATCGCGCTTGGCTGCGGAGCCATTCAGCCCGTTGTGTCCCGTGCTGGCAGTGCAAGAGGACTGTCCTATTTCATCCCACTCTCCCCTCTTTTTACCCCACCTTTCTGTAACGTTTACCTGAACTTCAGTCAGGATTGAACCAGCCTCTTAGCGAGGTTTAGCATGACTTCCTGGGTTTTCTTCTTTGCGTTCTCTGTAACTCTGTTAATAAAACTATTTGTTTGAATATTGACTGTCTCCTCCAAGTCTTCCTCTGCACCCACACTCTCTCTCTCTCTCTGCACTGAAGATGTTTGCCTGAAAACATGTCCCTTGTGGTCATGAGTTCCACTTTTTTTTTAAAAAGAGCTCCCCCCTTGAGCCAGACCTGAGTTTACTGATCACCTCCTGAAATATCAACAGGGTCCAGCTGGGGACGCAGAGTGCCCCCTGTTCCTGTGTACGACAGGATTGGGGGATGATGATGCTGAATAGACCTCTTGATCCACTATTGCTGGTTTGCTGAGGCAGAATGGCCTCTTCCTGTTTGTGTAATCTATTAAAACATGGAACAGTATAGTACAGTACAGGCCCTTCGGCCCACAATGTTGTGCCAACCTATTAAGGGGATGGTTTCCATCTGTTGGAGTGGAGTGGACCCTGAGAGTCTCCTGTTGCCCCTGGGAGGTTAGGCAGCCAGCGATACCTGTGTTTATTAAACATCCTGAGTCGACCCCTTGAAAAAGTGGTGGTGAGCTGCCCTCTAGAGTCCACAATGTCCCCTCAGGGAGGGAATTCCAGGGATTCTGACCCAGCGACACTGAAGGAACAGCGATATATTTCCAAGTCAGGATGGTGAGTGGCTCGGAGGGGAACTTGCAGGGGGTGGGGGGTCCCATGTATCTGCTGCCCTTTGTCCTTCTGGATGGAAGTGGCCATGGGTTTGGAAGGTGCTGCCTGAGGATCTTTGGTGAATTTCTGCAGTGCATCTTGTAGATGGTACACACTGCTGCGACTGAGCGTCGGTGGGGGGAGGGAGTGGGATGTTTGTGGATGTGGTGCCAATCAAGGGGGGGCGCTGCTTTGTCCTGGATGGTGTCGAGCTTCTTGAGTGTTGTTGGGGCTGCCCCCATCCAGGGGCAAGTGGGGAGTGTTTCATCCCACCAAGTTGAAGGTGGGGTTATCATAATGGGATAAGTAGTCAGCTGTTATGGGTGAACGTAGAACAGTACAGTACAGGCCCTTCGGCCCATGATGTCGTGCCGACCTATTATCCTACTAAGATCAATCTATTGTTCGTACCCTACATTTTACTATCCTTCCATGTGTCTATCCAAGAGTCGCTTAAAAATATCTGACTCCACTACCACTGCTGGCAGCGCATTCCACACACCCACCACTCTCTGTGTGAAGAACCTACCTCTGACATCTCCCCTATACCTTCCTCCAATCACCTTAAAATTATGCCTCCTCGTAATAGTCATTTCCGCCCTGGGAAAAAGTCTCCGGCTATTCACTCTATCTGTGCCTCTCATCATCTTGTACACCTCTATCAAGTCACCTCTCATCCTTCTTCGCTCCTATGAGAAAATCCCTAGCTCCCTCAACCTTTCCTCATAAGACCTGCCCTCCAGTCCAGGCAGCATCCTGGTAAATCTCCTCTGCACCCTCTCTAAAGCTTTCACATCTTTCCTATAATGAGGCGACCAGAACTGAACACAATATTCCAAGTGTGGTCTAACCAGGGTTTTATAGAGCTGCAGCATAACCTCGCAGCTCTTAAACTCAATTCCCCTGCCAATGAAAGCTGACACACCATACGCCTTCTTTACAAATCTATCAACTTGGGTCACAACTTTGAGGGATCTATGGACGTGGACCCCAAGATCCCTCTGTTCCTCCACACTGCCAAGAATCCTGCCACTAACCCTGTATTCTGCATTCAAATTTGACTTTCCAAAATGAATCACTTCACACTTTTCTGGGTTGAATTCCATCTGCCACTTTGTTGTCCAGTTCTGCATCCTGTCAATGTCCCGTTGCAACCTACAACAGCTCATTTTATAAACCTTCAAAAGGTCAGCCTTCAATCTCCTACGCACTCGTGGAAAAAGTCCCAGCATCTCCTTATAACTCAAACCCTCCAATCCTGGTAAATCTCTCCTGAACCCACGCCAGTTTGATAATATCCTTCCCATAACAGGGTGACCAGAACTGGACACAGTTCTCCAGAAGAGGCCTCACCAATGTCCTGTACAACCTCAACATGACGTCCCAACTCCTACACTCAAAGGTCTGAGCAATGAAGGCAAGCGTACTAAACACCTTCTTAACCACCCTGTCTACATGTGACACAAACTTCAAAGCATTCTGAACCCTAAGGTCTCCCGTTCTACAATGCTACACAAGCATTTAATTGTGTAAACCCCACTCTTGTTTGTTTTACCAAATTGCAATACCTAGCATTTATCCAAATTAAACCCTTTTATCTTCCACTCCTCAGCCCATTGACCCAACTGATCAAGATCCCTTTCTGTTACATAACCTGCTCTGTTTGCTATATCACTTTGCATTCATCTGCAAACTTCCTAACCATGTATTTCATTTTCTCATCTGAATCATAAATGACGAACAAAAACCAAAAAATTGTGGCCACGATCTGCAGGAACCCTGCAGGTTATTTTTTATTTTGAAAGATTCCCGATTCCCTCTCCTCTCAAAGTGGCAGTCAGCTTTTCGGGCCCAGGGTGTAGATATGGGAGCTGCAGCTCTTGCCATCTTGGCCTCTCCCCCCGATCAGGCACAGACGGTCCGCCATCACCACCACCCAATGACCAAACCTCTTCATCTGAGGGTCTTTGTTGGAGACGTGGTACCACATCCCTCCTGGGGACCCTGGGAAAATACAGCCGGATCAGTACGCATTTAAAATTCACCTAAACACCTCTCTACATGGTCTCTCTCGCCTCCCCCAAACCTCATCAAACACTCCCAGGACAGGGACAGCAGGGGGTTAGATACAGAGTAAAGCTCCCTCTACACTGTCTCCCCCATCAAACACTCCCAGGACAGGGACAGCACGGGGTTAGATACAGAGTAAAGCTCCCTCTACACTGTCTCCCCCATCAAACACTCCCAGGACAGGGACAGCACAGGGTTAGATACAGAGTAAAGCTTCCTCTACACTGTCCCCCCATCAAACACTCCCTGGACAGGGACAGCACGGGGTTAGATACAGAGTAAATCTGTCCCCCCGTCAAACACTCCCAGGACTGTTTTATGTATAGTGTAAAGCTCCCTGTACACCGTCAGCACTGCGCGGTTTGTAACGTACGTGTGTCATAGATGAAGAGGTCGTTGCAGACGGTGTCGGTGGTCTTATTGAAACACTCTCCCCCATAGAGCACAGCGAAGGGTCCCACCAGGGTCATTGAGTGATGGCGCAGCGCTCCAGGCCTCCTGGAGGTCGCTGTTCCCGAGCTGATGAGGAAGCGGAGGTGGTCGACCAGTCCAGGAGCGTGCACGTGCTCTGGCTATTGGCGGAGAAGGGAGCAGATTAGTCGTCAAACCATCCTCTCGTCTTTCGCGCTCTCCCCGCCCCACTCCTTCTCTCTCGGACACTCACCCTGACGTCTCCTTCCGTCCAGACCTCCACAGGCTCGATCTCAGCGGAATTTCGGCCTCCAAAAACCAGGAGTTGGTACCCTGCTGCCTTGCGCCCATGCACGTGGGTCAGGATGGCGGTGTGTCCTGATCTCGAAGCTGTCCTTGACTCACATTCCTTGTACCTGGAACAGATTGGGAATCGAGCGGCAGCGTCAGGCGTCATACCTTCTTTAAAGGCAGTACAACGCCATGGCTGCACAAGACTTTGGCAAGGTCACGTTCTGGAGTACTGTGTACAATTCTGCTCGAGCAAGGACGTTATTAAACTGGGAGAAGAGCGCAAAAGGATTTGCAAAGACTTATAAATGGGGGGGGGGGGGAGGGAGAGGGATGTACAGGCTGTTTGGATTAGCCATGGGAAACGCACGGTTCATGGGAATGTGGTGGGATACTCTGTGGAGGGTGGGTGCACATTCAGTGGGCTGAATGGCCTCTTTCTGTGCTGTTGGAATTTTGAGAGAGGCTGGGGCTATATTCCCTGGAGCGTCGGAGGCTGAGGGGAGGGGGTGTGACCTTATAGAGGTTTATAAAATCATGAGGGGCATGGATAGGGTGAATAGACAAGGTCTTTTCCCTGGGGTGGGGAGGGGGGAGTCCAAAACTGGAGGGACATAGGTTTAAGGTGCGAGGGGGAAGATTTAAAAGGGACCTGAGGGGCAACATTTTCACACAGAGGGTGGTGTGTGTATGGAACGAGCTGCCAGAGGAAGTGGTGGAGGCTGGTACAATTACAACATTTAAAAGGCATCTGGATGGGGACATGAATAGGAAGGCTTTAGAGGGATATGGACCAAATGCTGGCAAATGGGACCAGATTAATTTAGGATAACAGGTCGGCATGGACAAGTTGGACCGAAGGGTCTGTTTCTGTCCAGCACAGCTCTACATCTCGAGAGCGTCAGAGCCCACCGTGAAGCGATAGGAACACAGTGATCCCATTCAGTACTAATCCTGCCATCGCTCCATTAAACCTCAAAACATTAAAAATTATCTGGGATGAGATCATTCAGCCCTTTGAGCCTGTGTAGGCCCTTTTCAAACAGGTCTCCAGTCAGTCCCACACCCCTGTTCTGTCCCGTCAGCATCTCTGCGTTCTTCCTCATCCCCCATTTCCTCGGGATTATTGATACAGGGAGTTGCGGAGAGAGCGGGGCAGTGGGATTAGTGTGGGGGTTGATACAGGGATATGGGCAATGAGCGGGGCAGTGGGATTAGTGTGGGGATGGATACAGGGATATGGGGATGGAGCGGGGCAGTGGGATTAGTTTGGGGATTGATACAGGGACATGGGGAGGGAGCGGGGCAGTGGGATTAGTTTGGGGATGGATACAGGGATATGGGGAGAGAGCGGGGCAGTGGGATTAGTTTGGGGATGGATAAAGGGATATGGGGAGGGCACGGGGCAGTGGGATTGGTTCAACATTTTGCCCACTCCCAAGCCCTGGTACTTACCAGTACGTGTGCGAGTAGGCATCGATGTGCAGCCTGAAGATACTGGCGAATCTCCTCTGGGTGTGGACCCCACCTTCTCTGCCCAGCACCAGCACCTCATGGTCCGAGAGCTTGGTGCATGTGTGCCCACTGAGGCCCACTGGGGCCTGGTTCCCCGCTGCCCGGCTCAGCTCCCTCCAGCCCCCGCCTGGTGCCAGGTCGAAGCTGTGGACATCTGCCAGCCTCCTCTTGCCATCCCAGCCACCCACCACCACCAGCCAGCGATCGTGGAGGGTCACTGCCCCATGGTGACTGCGGGCTGGGCCTCCCGACACCACCCTCTCGACCGCCAGGCCCGAGGGCTCCAGGACTAGCAGGTCCCCGAGGGGGGGTCCCGGGGATCGGCCGACCTCGCCCCCCCGAACACCAGCAGCCTGCCCCCGACCAGGTTGGCGCTGTGGAAGGCCCGGGCCAGCAGCTCCGAGGAGCCCACCCTCTTCCAGGCCCAGCCGTCCTCAGCGTCGCTCAGGGAGACCGCCTGACCTCTGACCTCCTCCTGCGGGAACAAGAAGACATGTGACCTTTCAATGGGCGTTGCGGCGGGGTAAGGGTGGGGTTAGAGGTGGTTCATGAAAGCAACAGGTCAACCGGCAGGCAATCCTGAGTGGCCCCTCCTTCCTAATGATCTAGCAAATCACCCTTGAGTCAATCCATGGGCCTCTTGCCGATTGGTCAATCACAGGCATAGCTGGGTGGTTGATCACCCTCTAGCGGATTGGTCAATCACAGGCATAGCTGGGTGGTTGATCACCCTCTAGCTGATTGGTCTATCACAGGCATAGCTGGGTGGTTGATCACCCTCTAGCTGATTGGTCAATCACCAGCATAGCTGGGCGGTTGATCACCCTCTAGCCGATTGGTCAATCACCGGCATAGCTAAGTAGTTGATCACCCTCTAGCCGATTGGTGAACCAACCTGGTCAGTCTAGCCTAACTCAGCAGGAGGCCTGGATCCAGACAGGCCGGCTGTTCAGTAGGAAGGGTTACGTGGCCTACATCAGCAGAGACAGCTCACGAACCAAGGAGGCATAGCCAATGTGGGCCGAGGGGGTTTAGAGAGTCTGGGCGGTGGTTATCCTCATTCAAGGAGGCTGGCGAACGAGGCAGATGAGCCGGGAACATCAATTGATATATGGGGTGGTCGACGCCGTGGCTGTCATAGAGACACGTTTGCGGGAGCTGGATCGTGCTGGATTGGCAGCCCAAGGTTCCGGGGATTCAGGATCTTCTGGTGAGACAGGGAAGGAGGTAAAGGAAGGAGAGGAGGGGTCGTAGTAGGTCAGGGAATCCATTAGGGCAGTAAAGAGGGGAAGACATCTTAGAGGGCTCCTAAAATGAGGCCATATGGGTGGAACTTATAACCACAAAGAAGCACTCACATTGCAGGGTCTGAGTGAAATGGAAGATCACATATTTAGCGAAATTTCACATGAGTGTATAAATAATACAGCAGCGGGGCAGTCCCGGAGTTAATTCTCGGGAATGAAGGCAGGCAAGTGATGGAAGGGTCCGTGGGGGAGCACTTAGGAAATAGCGATCATAATTCAGTTCGGTTCAAGAGATTTATGGGAAAGGACAGGGATGGGCCTGAAATCAAAGTTCTAAACTTGGTGGGGGTGGGGGTGGGGGAAGCGGCTGATTTTTACTAAGATCAAATATGATTTGGCCACAGTGGACTGGGAGCAGATTCTTATGTATCATTCTGTCTCAGTGCATTCAGAAAGGAAATAGGGAGCGCACAGGGCCGAAATGTTCCACTGGAGATTCAGAGTGGGACCAACAAATCCAGGAATCCCTGGATAGCGGAGGATTGGATAAGGATAAAAAGGGAGGCTTATCGCAAATAGTGAGGGCTCAAAACAGCAGAGGTTCTGGAGGTATGTAGAATGTGCAAGACAGAGGTTAAAAAGATTAAGAGAACAATAAGGGGACATGAAAAGATACTGGCAGGTAAAATAAGGGAAAATCCTCAATTTATTTACTGGTGCAATAAGGAATAATGAGGGCAAGAGTAGGGACTATTAAGGAATACAACAGTGATTTGCGTGTGGAGTCAGAGGATGTAGGTATGGTTCCAAATGAATCCTTTGGTTCACCAGTGGGAGGGATGGTGTGGGGATAAAAACCAGGAAGAAAGATTGGGATATCATTGAAAACAAAGGGGGCTCTGAGTGGTCTGGCAGGTTTAAGAGTAGACAAACCTCCAGGGCCAGATGGAATGTAGCCTGGGCTGTCGAGCGAGAGGTCACAGAAGGTGCACTGGTAAAAGTTTTCAATTTATCGCTGACTACAGGAGAGGTGCCAGAGGACTGGAGGACGGCAAATGTAGTGTCTTCACGCAAGACGGGAACAAGCAATTCACCAGGGAATCTGCAGAACAGTCCAACCTCAATGATGGGGAAACGATCAGAAACAATTCTGAGGGACAGAATTAATCCGAATGAGGAGAGGGAGGGAGGGATTAATCAGGAACAGTCAGTGTTGTTAAGGAGAGGTCATGTTAGATTGACTTGACTGAACTTTTCGGTGAGGGTGACTAGTTGTGTCGATGAGGGAGATGCTTTCGACGTTGTCTGCTTGGACTTCAGACAGCTTTTGACAGGATCCTGTGTGGGAGACTGAGAGCCCATGGGATCCAAGGAAATTTGTGAAATTGCATCCGCAATCGGAGGAGTGCAGAAAGCTGAGGGGTGATCCAGCTGCGACTGGATCCTGGGCCCTACCCGCCTGATCAGTTGATCCTGGGCCATAACCTCCTGTCGATCCCGGGCCCTAACCTCCTGGTTGATCTCCCCTTGCTCCCCACTTCGCTATGAAGCTGACAATATTTATCAGCCAGTCTCGGCGGGTGGGGGGGTCGATTTCTGTTCCACACGGGAGCTGATTCCCAGGCGAATCCGCTGACTGGGCGGTCCAGCTCCTGACAGCACAGGATGCCACAAACGGTCGAACCTCGAACGCGTTGCCAGCTCACAATCTCCCCCCTACCCCTTGTTCCTCTCTGATCGCGATGAAGGAGGAGGCCATTCTCATACTGCCCTTCCTCGCCGTGCTGTGTGTGAGGTTACAGTAACCCTGGGCAGGTTACAGCCAACATCAAAAACCCCCACAGTCTGCCTATGTCGCACTTCCTTTGACATCCAGGAGAGTGCACAATAAGCCCAAACTCTCTGTATTTCTTTCACACACAATGAGAGTTATTGACTAACTAATTATAATCACTAACCAACCAATTAAATTCTCTTCAAAGCCATTTCAATCTCAAACTAAACAATCACAACCTTCCTAACCACTCACCAACAATTTTCAATCCATAACTGACCCATTAACCATCGCAAGTTCATCAATTAAAATATCTGAACCACTTACAGTCTATAATTTGTCAATTACAACCCCAAACAAGCTAATCACAAGATTTCTAGCAAAGCATTCGGGATCTAGAATTCACAATTCCTACCTGATCAACGAACATTTAGTCTCATTTTCCGGTTGTAATCCCTTGCTAATCAATCAAAGACCAGCCCGAATTCCCAACTGCAATCCCCGAGCTCCTCAAATCGAGTCATCCCTTGCGAACTACGGTCGATTCAACCTGCTCCAGGTTTCCGATGACACTCCCTCGCAGATCGGCTAGCGCTCTAAAACTTCAGTTAAAATCCCGACCCGACCGATTAAAACTGCAGCCCCAAGCTAACCGATTAAAATTACGCTGAATTTCCAACTACAGCTCCCAGCAGATCCAATTGAAAACTGCTCCTGGCCGATTGCAATCCCAAGGTAAAGGAGGAAAATTGTATCAGAGATAGTAGGAACTGCAGATGCTGGAGAATCCGAGACAACAAGGTGCAGGGCTGGATGAACACAGCAGGCCAAGCAGCATCATAGGAGCAGAGAGGCTGACGTTTCAGGCCTGGACCCTTCTTCAAGCTTTCCTGCTCCTATGATGCTGCAAAATGTTAGTTTGTCAAATCAGGATGTATACGCTAGTTCATCAGAAAAAACAATCTGCAAATTGTGAAACTTAATTGAAGTGCACAACCTAACCTGTTCTTCCTCCCACCTCAAGCCTCACCTCCATCTCCTACCGACCAACCTCATCCCACCCCCTTGACCTGTCCGTCCTCCCTGGACTGACCTATCCCCTTCCTAACTCCCTACCTACACTCACCTTTACTGGCTCCATCCCCGCCTCTTCGACCTGTTTGTTTCCTCTCCACCTATCC